ACCCACCCCACCCACACACACACACACACACACACACTCTATGGCAAAAACCTTCATGAATAAAAATGGCTCACTCACAGTGGCACAGTGGTAGTGCAATGCCCTGCAATGCAGGAAGACACACAGAGGATTGGGTTCGGTTCCCAAGTCAGCTTCTGCCTGTCAGGTGAGTGCACATGTGCCCTTGATTCTGGCTGGGAAAGCTGAGGGGAGGACGATGGTGTGAGACTGGGTGCTTTTCTGTCTATCCTTCTCTCTCTCTTATGAAAGAAAGAAAGAGATATATTAACAGATCATCTTAGGTTAAATAAGCTCAATGTCACGTTAAAGTTTGGGATAGTGCATTACCATTAGGAACACTGTTTGAAATCAGGGCTTCTCTCTTTTTTTGGGAGAGGTTTCTGTTATAGGGCACGTGTGCTTGCCAAAGAGAGAGACAGAGAGATAGTGAGAAAACACACACACACACACACACACACCAGGGAGGATGGCCACACCGCAATCCCTTCTCCTCCATTCTCCTCTCAGGATCTTGGGCACGCACGCACACATGCCCAGCATGAGTTTAAGCCACTGGGTCTGGGACTCGAACCGCAGTTGACTACATGGGAGTCCAATGACATAGCCATTATGCCAATTGCTGGTCCTGAGAACAGGGCTTCTCAACTAGGGGATGATTTTGTGCCCCAGAGGGGCACACATATATGTGTGTGTGTGAAATATATATTTATGTGTTAATATATTTGTATGTTGCTATATTTATATATATGTATATATTATACATACATACCTATGTATACACACACTATATATCTATAGATATATATATAGTCTTATTTGGTTTTTAGTTTTTTGGTTTCTTTTCAATGCCAAGGGGCATGCACTCACCAGAGAGAGAGAGACAGAGAGAAATCCTAATGGAATATGGTCATACTACAATCCCTTTTCCTTCATTTCTCCATGCTGACAGAATTTGGGGCACCCACACACATTCACTCAACGTGTTTTTCAAGCCTCCAGGCTGGGATTTAAACTTGTAGTCAGCTCTTTGGGATCCAACTCCCTTAACTACTAGGCCACAGAACCCGCCTGGTTTTATTTTTAAGACAGGGTCTTGCTACGTCATGTCCCACCTGCCTACACCGCCAACTAGCAGGGACACAGGAGCACGCCACAACCTGCTCTTACAGAGAGGGGTTTGTTTTGTGGTCAGCCCTAGCCAAAGCTTGGACTCCTCACCTGTGCTCAGCCTCCTGAGCAGCAGCAACTGCAGGTGCACACCATCCCACCAAGCTTTTTTCTTAGATTAGGGTGGGAATTGAACCCTGGCCTCCAAAGTGGCCTCAACCTGCTGAGTGGCAATGTCCAGCAATGCTCTACCCTGATCAGACCTAGAAACATTTCAGTTATCACAACCGGGAGGTGCCATTGGCATCTAGTTGGTAAAGGGATGCCACTAACATTATAATGATGAGGACAGTCCTTCCCAAACAGAGAAGTCCCTTACTCAAAATGTCAAATGTGTTGAGGTTAGAAAATTCTAGTACAAGTTGTATTCCCTAGATTTGGATTCTAGCTCTCCCACTTACTAGCTATGACTTTGGGCAAGTTACATAACCTCTCTGATCTTCCTTACTCTTAAGCTCAATGGCTTTTCCTTCTACCAAGGGATAGAAGAAGAAAAGTGAAAGGCAATTTAGAAGACTATTTCACTTCCTTTCTAGGTAGGAAGAGCTGCCTGGTATAGCTAGGGATAGTGCGTGCAGGGATGCAGGCTAAGAGTATTTTCTGATATAGCCAGCCTTAAGAGGTGCCACCTATCTTGGGTCTTCGCTATCCCCTAGTGGGAAATGAAGAAGGCATGAGCCACTTACACTAAGGAAAGGTATCTACTGGGTTGTCAGAAAAGTCATGATGCATTTTTGCATAGAAAAACACAACGTGACATTTCCGACAACACACTGGTTTTAGAGGAAACAGACCCAGGTTCAACTCTATTTCCATCAAGAAGTCAACAGACCTTAAGCAACCAACTCACCCTAGATGTCCATTAACAGCATGAGTTAGCTTTACAAAGAGTAAAGCAAGGTAATGGTTTAATTTATTCAGTCATTCAAGAGTTTGAGACCAGCAGAGGGTAATGGTGATATCACTGGACTCCTACATCGTCGACCATGGTTCAAGTACTGGACCTGGCGGCTTAAAACTCATGTTGGGCATGTGTGCATGTGTGCCCAAAATCGTGAGAGGGGAATGATGGAGAAGGGATTATGGCCTTCATGGCCTTCGCCGCTGGAGGGGTGATTTCTAGCTTTCTGTCTCTCTGTCTCTGTCTTTCTGGCAAGTGCCCTATAGCAAAAATCTCTCTCTAAAAGAATAAATATATAAAAGTTTATTGAGGGCCAGCAGGTGGTGTGGTAGTTAAGATGCTGGACTCCCATATGGCCAACTATGGTTCAGGTCCCAGACCTGATGGCTTGCTTTCTCACTTCCCCCCTCTCTGTCTCTTCTCTCTGGTTAAATTAAATAATAATAGTAAATAAAAATAAATAAATAATTATTTGGGGGAAAAAATAGTTTATTGAGTACCTACTATGTCAGATTATGAACTAAGTCAAGAAAAACATGAAGTTAGATGCCCAGCATATAGCAAACATTCAACAGACAGTAATTTTGTTTGTTTGTTTACTACATCATTCCAATTTAAAAATGCGTTCACAATAAACTTATGGGATACACAATGTAGTGGACATGTGTTTGTCTGCTCAGCATTACTTCCTTGGGCTTAGCAACCTGTTCCAATTTTGCAAAAGCTCTCATTGGCCCACACTGACCCCTTACAATCATATGACCCATGTGAATATTCCATTCTCCTGGCCACATGGCCAGGAATGGGCAAGTGAACCAAACTAGGACAAGCACTCTTTGCTGGGCTTTTTCTGGAATCCTAACCTCGAAAGATGATATGAGCGTTGCAGAAGGCCTTCTTGCTACCATGTGGGCAGAGTCAGTTTGAGAATGAAGCCAGAGACAAGAGATAAGAAGATTGAGTTGGGTCCAGTTTCTATGGTGTAGTTAGTAGCAAACTGAACTACAGAGCTAGAAGCCACATGACTGACTGACTGATCAGATTCCCAGGTAAGGGCCAACAGTTGGTATAGTGATTACGACACTGGATTCTCATGTGGCCTACAGTGGTTCAAGTCCCAGACCTGGTGACTTGAAATTCACACCAGGCATATTATGCATGGGTGCCCAAAATCCCAGGAAATGAATGGAGAAGGGATTGTGGTATGGCCATCTCCCCTGGGGGGTGACTTATCACTTCCCTCCTCACTGTGTCTTTCTGCCTGTCTCTCCCCCCACCCCCCTCTTGCTCTCTCTCTTTAGTGAGTGCAAGTGCCCTATGGCACAAACCTTAAAAAAAAATAAGATTACCTGATAAGCTTGAACACAGAGCAGGTGTGGGTACAAGATCCTGACCAGATGGAAAGTCAGGGAAAAGGGATTGTGGGATGATGAGACCCTGTCAAGGGTTCTTCTCTGTCTCATGCGTGCATGTGATACCAGAAATAAAATAAATAAACTGAAAAAGAGAGAGAGCCTCAAAGGACTGGTAACATCATCTAAGTCCTTGGATCCAGCCGCACCTGAAACCAGTCAACTCTTGGACGTACATGTCATAAAATCAATAAATGCCCTTTCCTTATGTTGGATTAAGTTAATTTTATGCCACTTCCAACTAAAAGGATCTGAATAAGATAAACAGAAAATTACTGTAAAGAAACGTCAGTCATAATCCCACAGCCCAAGGAAACCAGCACGAACTTTGTGTGGTCTTCCCAGATGTCACTGTGGTGATCATTTGTTTTATTTCATTTGTATGTTTTAGAAGTGACTAATATGATTTGTTTTCTTTTTTTTTAGTTTTTCTTTTCCCCCCCCCCTTCAGTTTTTTGCTATAGGGCATGGCCGCTCACCAGAGGGAGGCAGAGAGAGAGAAAGTGAGAAAGCTCCCAGGGATGGTCACATCATAATCCCTTCTGTCTTCTCTCAGGGTTTGGGACACACAAGCCCACTGTGTCTATCAAGTCACCGGGTCTGGGATTCAAACCACATAGTCAGCCATGTGGGATCCAGCACCTTAACCAGCACACCACCTGCTGGCCCTTGGGGTGATTATTTTTAAAGTAAGAAATTGTCAGTTTTCAAGCCAGACCTCCTTGGGCTTGAAGGCTGACTTGCCTTCTTCAGTTGAGTTGCTACTAAAATAGAAAGAGAAAAGGAGGAATCTAAGAATCTGGATTTCAAGATGCAGTTTTGAGAAATCAAGAAACTCTTCAATGGAAATAAAGAAACTCCAAGATAACGTGGTGTTTTGCGAGTGACCAACCTTCTCAGACACTGGCCCTCTGGATGAACCCTCCAAGTCTTCGTGCACACGATCTAGCAGCCAGAGCAGGAACTCCAGGGCATCGTGCTGGGAATTGCCTTGGAACTGAGAACCATACTTGGAAACGGCATTCTGGAAGGGAAAGAAAGAAAAACAGAAGTCAACCTGGCCCTTTATACGATGAAATGGAAAGCCTCTAAGCACCCAGACCACCCACGGGTCATTAATCAGCCTTGACCTGGGATGACAACACACAGACGACGTGCAGTAAAAGTGTTCCTTCTGTCCGAAGCCTGTCACTCTCAGGAACTGTCTCAAAATGGCATGAGGGTCCTCTGCATAGCAGAAGACAGCTTCTTTCCAAGATTATGAATAGATGGCCTAGCCTTTGGAAACTCACAGGGTTGTGTCCGTTTATTTGGATGCTCTTGACCCCCTATCCTCCCTAAAGCCCTTGTCCTTTGATGGCTGGGGTTCCAGGTTCTACTGGTCTTCTCTCCATTGGGCTATTCCCACACTCTCAGTTTACCCCACAGGTAGAACATCTTCTCACCCTACTCTCTCCGTTGCTGACTGCATTCATTGCTATAGCTTCAACTCTCGGGAAATGACCACCCTTGCAGTAAAGAGGACTTCCTTAAATATGATGCATGTACAAGAGGTCTTTAAAAAGTTCACAAAGCGGGCCAGCAGATGGCGTAATGGTTACGTTGCTGGACTCCCACATAGCCAACTTCAGTTCCAATCCTGGACCCAGTGGCTTAAAACTAACGCCAGGTGTGTACATGTGGGCCCATGATCCCAGGAGGAGAATGAAGAAGGGACTATGGAGTGGCCATCTCCACTGGGGGTGATTTCTCACTTTCTCTCTCTCTTTTTCTGTCTTTCCAGCAAGTGCAAAAAAAAATCATAGCAAAAAATTCGCTATAGCAAAAAATAACTCTCTTCCCCCCCAAAAAAAATTAAGTTCATGATGGGTGGGCAGACAATATGGAGCAGCACTAAACCAAGTACTCTGAGGCAATCCCACATGGGAAGGAAGTTTCCCATTTCAAGTCTGGACACCTCCATGGGTATGCCAGGCACATGTTTGTCCATAATCTGGGAAAGATTGAAGGCTGGGAGTGGATCACGGCAACAGGACCCTGTTGGGATTGCTGTTTTCCTCCGCATGCGCACGCACGTACCCACACGCACACGCGCGCGCGCACACACACACACACACACACACACACATGAGGCCATGAAATAAATAGTTTTTATAAAAAGCTCTGAGAATGTACATTACGAAAACATTATGCATGGATTTAAAAATGTTTCAGCACCAAAATAAACTTGTACTTTAATTCCATTTTTCCAAGGATTTTTTTAAAGTCCCCTTGTAGTTTCTTTACTGAGTCTTTTCAACATGGATGAAATGTAAGAATACAAACTTCATGCTCTGGTTAGGTCTTGAAATGGTTGAGCCAGCCCTCCCTGCCTTTGGTAAGTCTGTTGGAGCACCTACCCCGGGCCAGGCACCCTCTGGGGTGTCTGTGACCGCCTGCCCCCAGGACGCTTCCATTCCCTCTTCCTTAGTTGTGTCCTCCGGGTGAGCTGTATATCAACAGTGTCAGTTTTCTGGGTATATGCATACTTCTGCTTTTTAAATAAGCATTTATTTCAAAGGGTAATATAGGCGCATACCAAAAAAATAAAATGAAATAAAAAAGAATTCAATAGATTAAAAAGAAGAGTAATAAATTCCTCCTTCTAACTGGCCTCCATCCCCTGGTGCCCCTCCCCGGAGGGTAGCTACTCTTAGCATTCCCTCAGCATCTTTGCCACACATATGCATGCCTAGGAGCGTCTGAGTGCAAACAAGTCCCCTTGTACGTGGGCACACACAAGCACATGCACACGACACACTGAGGTTGCCTGCTTCACTCTCAGACCGCAGGGCCAAGCTTCCAGCCTCGTCCCACGCAAACCTGGTCTCTGCTCGCCCACACCGAAAGAGGCCAGTCTGTACAAGGCTGAGGACCAGGACAACGCACAAGACTGCCCATCAAATCAAACAGCCTCAGTTCTGTTCATTCTTCTTTTCTTTTAATCTTCCCTTGGGACATAAAAGGCAACTTTGGGATGAGATGAAGCAAAATTCAAGCTTTAATTAATTGAAATGCCCATTCTGAGTCTTTATTTCAATCACATTAGTTGGGATTCTTTCCCAGGCTTCTCCCTTTGACCCTCAAGGAGGGCTGCCAGATTTAGGGAAGAAATAAAAAGAGGGTGCCCAGTTAATTTGCACTTCAAATTAACAATGAATCTATTTTCAGAATAAAATATGTCCCATGCAATACTGGGGATACATTTATAGTGAAAATTTATTCATTACTTATCTACAATTAAAATTTAACTGGGAAGGCCAGTAGGTAGCATGGTGGTTAAGGTGTTGGACTCCCAAGTGGCCAACCGCGATTTGAGTCCTGGACCCGGTGGCTTGAAAATCATGCCAGGCACGTGTCTAAGTGGCCAAAATGTCAAGGCAGAAATGGAGAAGGGATAGCAGCATGGTCATCCCCCTGGAGGGTGATTTCTCACCTTCCCTCTCACTGCCTCTCTCCAGCAAGTGCGCACACCCTATGGCCAAGACCTTATAAATTCATTCATTCATTTCTTCCTTCGACTGGGTATCCGTGTAGTTTATCTGGCCGTACTACCCGCAAGCCATCCTGGAGCCTGTATCCCCACACCTGTATTCTCTTCGGGATGAGCAGCCAGACTGGCCAATCCAGCATCGTCCCTGAAAAGCAGCTCTTCCTTTGCTCTAAGTGTCACCCTTCAGCTCTGCTTCACATCAGTCAGCTGCCAAGTCAGCTGTTAACTGGATTCTAGCTCCCAAGTCTCTGCCCTTTGCTTTTTATTTCTTCTTTAATATTTTTGCTATAGGGTGTATGTGCTTGCCAGAGAGACGGAAAGTGAGAAATCACCCCCTGGGGTGTGTGTGGGGGGGGTACCACCATCCCTTCTCCTCCAAGGATTTTGTTCACGGATGCTCATGCACCCAGTGTAAGTTTTAAACCACTGGGACTCAAATCACGATAGACTACATAACCATTACGCCATCTGTTGGTCCCTCTGCCCTTTCCTATGGCAGAGTCTCTCTCCTGTGGCTGTGTTCTAACTACTGCCAACCCAGATGACAATACCTACTCAAGGAGGAGCCCTGCCCTCCAGATCTAACCCCGCCAACTGGAGTCATGATAAAGCAGAGCAAACTTCCAACAGCCCAACTGGAAAATGTCATGCCCTTATTCGCCCACTCACCAGCTAATAGTCAAAACTCCTTCTCTGGTTGGATCTCAATGTTCTACTCCTCTCTTATATATTTCAAAGCTCCAGGTAAACGAGCTACTCAGGTGCCTCAAACACACTTTCCTACACCTACAGTCTACACTTGGACTGTTGTGTTTCTGGGTGAAATCCTGTCCCCTCCAGGTAATCACGATTATCCTGAGCCTCTTCATCTTAGCCTGGTGATATTGCCATACAACCTTTCCAGAAAGAATGTGATATATTTTTTCTTTTTTATTATTTTATTTACCTTTACTTATTTATTTCATTTCACCAAAGAGAGACAGTGAGAGAGCATGAAAGAGGAAAATGAGAAAGCAAGCCTCCAGGTCCAGGACTTGAACCATGGCCAGCCATGTGGAAGGCCAGTGCCCCTAACCACCACACCACCTGCCAGCCTGCCAAGAGTGCGATAACTTTAAGCGGCCAAGTAATTGTACAACAGTGATGCAACTGGACCCACATGGGAAAGGTCCTGGATTCATGTCCCATGACCTCCCTGCCCACGCCAGGCTCAGCCCATGGACCAGTATGAGAATGGAGGTGGGTCACTACGTAGGGACCCTGTTGAGGATTCCTGTTCCTCTCCCAGTCATTCTCACGGAGGAATTAAATAAACAAATGTTTTAAAAGAGTAATATTTCATGGGGCTGGCAGGTGGTGTGGTAGTTAAGGGCACTGAACTCCCATATGGCCGACCAAGGTTTGAGTCCCAGACCTGGCAGCTTGCTTTCTCACTTTCCATCTCTCTCTCACTCTGTCCCTCTCTGGTCAAATTAAAATAAATAAATAAAGTTAAATAAAAATAATTCTTGGGGCCAGCAGGTGGTGTGGTGGTTAAGGCGCTGAAATTCCCACTTGGCCTACCATGGTTTGAGTCCTGAATCTGGCGACCGGCAGCTTGCTTTCTCACTCTTCTTCTCTGTCTTTCTCTGGCAAAATTCATGTGAAAATAATAGTAATAAATAAATTACATAATTATTTTAAAAAATAATAATTATTAAAAAGAAAAAAGTCATCCTTCACAACTTCAATAAGATAGATAAGGCAAGGCCTTAAAAATGTTCCTCTGGGGCCAGCAGGTGGCATGGCAGTTAAGGTGGCTGAATTTCATACGGTTGACTCCATGGCTCAAGGCCCAGAATGAGTGGCTTGAAAATCATACAGGGCTTGGGAACCAGCAGTTAGCGTAATGGCTATGTTGCTGGACTCCCACGTAGTCGACCGCGGTTCGTGTCCCGGACCCGGTGGCTTAAAAAACTCACGCCGGGCACGTGTGCGTGCGTGCCCAAGATCCCAAGAGGAGAATGGAGGAGAAGGGATTGCGGCGTGACCATCCCCCCTGGGGGGTGATTTCTCGCTTTCTGTCTCTATGTCTCTCTCTGTCTGTCTGGTGAGCGCACACGCCCTACAGTGAAAATCTCTCCAAAAAAAAAAAAAAAAAATCATACAGGGCTTGTGTGCTCAAAATTCCAGTCAGGAGAATGAAGAAGAAGGGATTCCGAGGTGGCCATCTCCCCGAGGGGAGGGGAGTAATTTCGCTCTTCCCCTGCCTCTCTTATCTCTCTCCAGTGAGCACACATACCCTACAGCACAAAAAAAAAAAAAAGAGAGAGAGAGAGAGAGAAATTCCTGTATATAAACACAGTCATTCCACTTTGGGGATTTAGCCTAAGGAAATGAGAGATAAGCAAAGTTCTCTGGAAGAAAATGTATGGCCTTAAGAAATTACGAAAGAGGAAATACAATGAGAAAAGAAAATAAATGATCCCGCTGTAAAAAGAGTGCAACTATATCTGTTTAATTTAAAAATATATGATATACATTATTGACCTAGCTACATGAATACATCGACATACACACTTAGAGGGAGAAAAATAAGGGACAAGAAAATATATGGCAAAATAGTGACAAATGGTTACAGAACAGGATGGCTCATGGGCAATTTTTTTCATTTTTTAGTTTGACATTCTAAATTTTTTAAATAAGGAACACTGTTCTTTATTGTTTTTTTTTTCCCAATTATAAAGTATCTGACAGGAATGCTCCAAGATTTGGGGGTTTTATTTTGTGTTGTTTTTGGTTTTGTTTTCATAATGTATTGGGCCACCCAGTGGTCTGATGGTTAGGGTGGCTGCATCCCACATGGATGACCGCGTGATTCAAGTCTCAGACCCAGTGGCCTGAAAAATCACACTGGGCGCGTGTGCATGCATGCCCAAAGTCCCAAGAGGAGAACAGTAGAGAAGATATTATGATGTGGCCATCCCCCCAGGGGGTGCTTTATCAACCCTTCCCCACACCCATCTCTCTGTCTGGCAAGTGCACGTAACCTATAACAAATTTTTTTTTAAGACTTTTGCTGTAGGGTGCAGAGCTCAACGGAGAGAGATGAGAGAGGGAAAGTGAGAAATCACCCCCCAGGAGGATGACGACATCAATCCCATCTCCTCCTGGAATTGTGAGCACACGCGTGCACACACACACACACACACACACACACACACACATGCTCAGGATGATTTTCAAGCCGCTGGGTCTGGGACTGGAACCACCGTCAGCCATGTAGAGTTCAGCACCTTAACACTGCACCACCTGCTTATCCCACACATTTTTAAAAATAATAAAATTAAATAAAGAGGGAGGGAGGGAGGGAGGGAGCACAAGAAGAGAAGAAAGAGAGGTATTTGGACAGGTTCTCGCCATTGTGATTCTCTACCCCACATCTCGCCTAGCCACCACAGCACCCAGCCCGTTCAGGTTCACACTGGATCTGAACCCATGGCCCCAGCTTCACGCAGCAGCACCCTACTGCTTGCATCATTGGGGTTGGGCCTGTACTTCCCAATTTCCTTTTTTTTTTTTTTTAATTTAACTTTTGCCAGAGGGTGTATGCACTAGCTGGAGAAAGAGAGAAAAAGTGAGAAAACACCCATCAGGGGAGATGGCCACCCCATAGTCCTTTCTCCTCCTTTCTTCTTTCAGGATTTTGGACACATGCCTGGCATTTTTCAAGCTGCCAGGCCCACAACTCAAACTGCATAGTTGGCCACATGGGATCCAGCTACCTTAACCTCCACGCCACTGACTGGCCGTCAGTTTCTTATATTACATATACTGGGGCTGGCAGGTGGCGTGGTGGTTAAGGCGCTGGACTTCCACATGGCTGACTACATTTCGAGTCCTGGACCTGGCAGCTTGCTTTCTCACTTTCTCACTCTCCCTCTCTCTCCCTCTCTGGTGAGCACATGTGCCCTGTAGTAAATTTAATAATAATAATTATTATAAGTAAACATTTTTTTAAAACCACTGAATTGAATTATTACGAAAGTATAGAATTATAGATAATACCATGGAGAGGATTTTTTAAATGCACACTTTTATTTTCTGTTAAAACAAAGACTGACCATAAGGTCTGTGGGAGGCTGAGAGGCCTCTGAGCTCAAGAAGGTGGAACACTGCAAACCCATCCCGTTTGCAGGGGCCGGGCTGGGTAACACTCCAGCATGCAAGCCCCTTCTTGGGGTCTTCCTTTCCTCATCTGAAGCTAACAACCCTCCTTAAAGACCAAGCTTTTTTTTTTTTTTTTGAGAGAGAGATTTTTTGCTATAGGATGTGTGCACACACCAGAAAGACAGACAGAGACAGAAAGACAGAAAGTGAGAAATCACCCCCTAAAAAAGATGGCCACGCCACAATCCCTTCTCCTCCATTCTCCTCTTGGGATCTTGGGCACGCACGCGCACATGCCCGGCATGAGTTTAAGCCACTGGGTCCAGGACTTGAACCACGGTTGACTACATAGGAGCCCAGCGGCATAGTCACTATACCATCTGCTGGTCCAAAGACCAAACTTCTTAACAAAACCTTTTGTGACTGTTCCCAGCCAATTCTCCATCTTCTCATTCCCATCAGAGACGTTCATTAACTCACTTGGGGCCACTCGGCCCATGCACTCCAACGCTGGCATTTTCATTTCCCAGGCCTGGAATGCACTTCCCCACCCTCCCACATCCTCAGTCAACATCTCATCCTTCAACCCTGAACTCAGTCGTTGGTTACTTGCCAAGGAAGCCTCCGCTTCCATCCTAACCACCTTCCCCAATCAAATCGCATTCTCTGCCATAATGTCGTAGGGTGCTGTACCTTTCCTTTCCTTTCTTTTTTTTTTTTTTTTTTAGAGGTTTTTGCTATAGGGCACATGTGCTCATCAGACAGACAGAGACAGAGAGACAGAAAGTGAGAAATCACCCCCAGGGGGGATGGCCACGCCGCAATCCCTTCTCCTCCATTCTCCTCTGGGGATCTTGGGCACGCACGCACACGCGCCCGGCGTGAGTTTAAGCCACCAGGTCCAGGACTTGAACTGCAGTCGACTACGTGGGAGTCCATAGTCATTACGCTAAGTGCTAGTCCCCCCTACCTTTCCTTTCTAGCACGTCACCCGTTCTAATCCTGTAGCTGTGCGAGTGCTTCACTGCATCCATTCTCCCGTTCGACTCTAGGCTAATCGGGAGCAGGCCCGGGATATGGGTCTACACACATCACTCATCGGGTGTCTCATGCGCCCAGTCTAGTGTCTGGATACTGCATAAACATTTGTTGAATGAATGAATTCTTCCTTATTTGTTAAATAGGAGGAGTCTGTCTAGACTTCTGGAATCCTCTACTCCTCCCTCCAAGGGTACCCCGAAAGTCCCAGGAAACCTCAGATTATATGTTCCCTTGTTGGTCTGTTACAGGATGCATGTACTTGCTGAAGAGAGAAGAAAGAGAAAGGAACAGTGAGAAATGACCCCCGGGGGATGGCCATGCTGCAATGCCTTCTCCTCCATTCTCCTCCTGGGACTTTGGGAACACACGCACATGTGCCCGGCATGCTGTTCAAACCACTAGGTCTGGAACTTGAACGGTGCAGACAGCCATATGGGATCCAGCTGCCTTAACCACCATGCTGCCTGGCTGGTCCCCTATTAACACGTTATCTTGATTCTTCTTCGATTCCTTCCCACCTCCCCCAAGCTTACTGGGAGTGCTCAGGCCCTGGAGATTTGACAGCAGGAGAAACGAGGAAATCCTGGTGAGTCATGGAGGGCGATTATTAATTTGAAAGTTTTTTTTTTTTGAAACTACTCTGGCTTCTCTTGTTGCTGTAGTAACTGGGTGGGACTGAATCCGATGAGAGAAAAGCTACACAAAGATGGCCCCCTCCCTCCTCTAGGTCTCTGCTGGTCTAATGATAGAACAGCACATGTGAACACCTCATCGGGGCCAGGCACCTAACTCATCTGATACTCACGACCACGTCATAATAAGTTAGGTATCCTTCTCGTCGGTCCCATTTTACATACGAGGAAAGTGGAGGAACAAGGCGAGTTCCTCCTTGAGTAACTCACTCAGGGTCACAAAGATCCAGAGACCTTGCTGTTTACCATTACACTACAGTCATATTTAAAAAGTGACTGTTGCCAAAAAGAGACATTAATGACACCCCTGTGACCCACGGGCTGCGGCAGAACAATGGTTCACTAATGGAGGCGGGCGGGCAGGCGGTGGGGGTTGGCATCCTTGCAGGTCACATGGCAAAGACTGCTTTCTCAGGCTGAAACTCAAGAGCGGTGATGCTTGTGGAATGAACACTGACAGGTTCCCCCCTCCCCCAAGAACAACAATCACTAGTCTGTGGGGAGCTTCAGTTCTCTGCCCAGGGCTGCGGTTTTTCAGCAGGCAGCAAGACTTTTCCAGCAGGAAGCAAGCCGTGTGCATCAATGATCAGGAACTCTTTCATCCAACTGGGACCCCAAACAAACACCCAGCTTCCACCCTGGGAGAGGTGATACACACGATTTACAAAGCCTCCTCACCCTGCAGCATCCTGAGGAAGTAGACCATGATCCTGCGGACAATGAGCGCAATCCATGCTAACACATGGCAGGGGATGTAATGCATGAAATGAAACGGTTCCTTCTCCAAGACAGCACACCCACTGCACGCCCGGCAACCAGCACAGGACCTGGCCAGGTCCTCAGCTCCCACTGGACTCAGTAAAATCCAAATTCTTTACCATGGCCCCCAAGGCCTTCGTATGATCTGCTCACCTCCTCTGCCTCCTGAGCTCCAGTGACACCAGTTTTCTGTCCAGGCCTCCCATATGCATCTCCTCCAGGCTCACAGCCTGTGTCACTGCTGTTCCCTCTGCCTGGATTATTCCCAGGCATGGGCCTGACGCCGTCTTCCTCATCATTCAGATCTCAACTCCAAGCATCACCTTCCTGAGGCCTTAGCCTTCAAAGTCTGATTCCCCAGCCCGCACCCCTCCCCATGGGAAGCTCTTATCTCTAGCTTTAGAACACTGGCCCACGGACCTTCCACACTTCAACAAATGTTTGTCAAATGCAATATTCCTGAGTACACTGAAGTCTGCCAACTCTCCCCACACCCGCTCAGAACACCTGGTGGAAATTAATTAATAATAATAAATAAAAAAAACATAAGCCAGCGGTGGCATAGCACACCAACCGCAAAGGCGGTGACCGAAGGCTGAACTGTAAATGTTGTCTAATGCCCCTAGAAAACCCTCTCTCGATGGTGCACACACTTCTCAAGAAACGGAACCAGGAGGACCGGCAGACGGTGGCCGCGGAGCGGCAGGGCGGCTGGCTGCAGAGCGCTGCCTACCTTGAACTCGGCGGAAAGTTGGGGCGTGTATTCGCGTGTCCAGAGCGCGCGCACCAGCGCCGCCAGCTGCTCGGTGACCTCTGTGCGGCCGGGCACCGCCCGGTAGCGCCCCAGCGCCAGGAACTCGGCCAGCAGATCGGTGTTGCTGAGACACTGCACCACGGCGTTCATGAAACAGGTGTTGCCGTGGTTCTTCAAGCCCTGCGCGCCGGGCGGCCGCGCCCCGTCGCCGGCGAGGAGCTGGGGCTGGGGAACCAGTGGGCGCTCCTCCCCGGGGCTCCCGGGGGCCGCTGGAGCCGCACCCG